ATGATTACATATCCAATAATTTTTGGACTAAATTTGCAAAATCGTTCACGTGTACTTTACAGATATTTTATACGATTCATGATTCATGCCGAAATTTTGCTTTCTAAGCATGAGATATTTACTTTATATGATCAAATCAAAAAAGCATTCTAAGCAAAACAAATTTTTTAACCGTAAACTGCTTACGTTGATAATCTAATAGCAAACAAACGAAATAATGTATCAAAGCGTCTTATTGTTTGTTCAAATTTTTGTAATTCGAAGTGAAAAGAATTTATAAATCGCTGTAAATGTAGTCGGGTGGAAAACAGTAAAGCAGCATCATGATTTGAATTAGCACCAACATGACAGAATGCGAGATTTGCTGAAAAGTATGAAGATAATATAAGAAATTGCACTGTTTACTTCTTTTTCTATCAACTATTATATATTTTAAAAAGTTAATAGCTTCTCTTTTCAGTTTTTTACCTGCAAAATAGTCCTATATCAGAAGCGAAAAAACGTTATAATAGTAGCCTCTTCACATTTATTGATGAATATAATTAAATGCTTAATTTAATCAGTAGTACAATCATACTTTTAAGATAAACATAATTATGCAAGGAATTGCTAATAGCTATAAATTGCAAGAAGAAATAAAGCAAAAGCAATATATACACCAGGAAAAAGTTAAAAAAATAGAGAAAGAAAGAAGTAAACAAATGATAATTTTGAATATTTTATCGACGAATTTTACTACGTATTTGCTAAAAAAAAGTTTCTATTTATCAATGTTGTAACTTTCTGACAACATAAGTTACGTATGAACACATGAATTCTATTACTTTGACTTTTCCACTTTGATTTTCCTCCTATAATTTTATGAATAATAAAAGTTAAAAGTAAAAACTAACGTAAAATAGGTTATTAATAACACAAGTTAAAATAAACAACTTACAACTCGTAGCGAAGAGGTCTTTGATCAATGCTAACTGCTGTATCAATATGCCAACATTTTTGCGAATACAAAGATGCCGACGTACTGATGATTCAACCTTCGAACATTTTCTCGACGAATTAAGCTCCAGTAATGGAACAGGAACACATACCGAATCACCGAATATTTCATTCACTGTACTGTCGATAAGATATTTTTGGAATGAACGTGTATCCAGTAATTCTTTTAGTATTCGTTGTGCAATAACTGCATGCCCTTCAGAGATTGGAAAATACTCATCTCTTTTCTCACTCATTTTCTGCAAAAACTAAAATGATGAATTTTAAAAAAGTAATAAATATTGATCATACGATTATGCATTAATACTTAAATGAATAAAGTTGAATTATTCTCGAGAATATTAATTAAAATATACGCAAATTATTCTTAATTGCAAATGATTTCAACTTATTCACTTAAATACAAAAGTTATTTAATTACTTTATTGATAAAAAAGTGAATGAGAGCAAAAACTGGTAAATAAACAAATAAATTGAGAAGCGAAGCATTTCGTTCATCAAAAACAATTAATCCCCTCTGACACAATATTATCTGTTACTCGTCAGACAATAATAATTATTCACTATGCTAGTTGAATTTAAAAAAAACTTTTTCCAAAGACTTTTCTCTCTCTCTTCTCTATTTCCGAACCATTTTTTTCTTTTCCTTTTTTTTTCAGATAAATCATACACTATCTCTGTATTACATTAGATAGATGTTCATAACGCAAAATGAGCCATTACTGAAACATGCAATTACCATTTAATTCAAATTTGGCACTGAATTTGCTTCTTCAATTACTGGTCATTGCTGGAATAGCGACTGATAAGTACTGTATTTTCGTGATAAATATCTGCGCAAATACCCAGTAATTAAATTAACATATCCGTCAAAATTCTCAGTTATTAAATTAGTGAGATATTAATTCTATGAAATCATAATTTGATAAAACTCAAGAAAAAAACAACATTAGATTGAATATGAAATGCAGTTACTAATTTTCTATCGGTGTTTCTTTTCTATTTCAAGTGTTAATTTAAAATTAGTTAAATTCAGGTTTTGATTTCATTTCTCAAAGGAAGTATTTCAGAATTCTTTATATTCCTCTAGTGACTTATATCATTTTCTGTGCTATTAAGTTATCACTGCCATTTATACATAGTTACTATTTTCATCCAATTATTTTTAAATGTTCGTTAGGAGTAAAATAGCAGTTGTGTATGAAAATAATTGTGAAATTCAGATGTCAGCAAGAAAACTTAATCATCAGATATTAGTATTTGTATATGGTACATTAAAGCAAGGTGAGCCTAATGCGGCGATTATGACTGATCTCACATTCGGAAAACAGAAATTCTTAGGTAAAGGGAAAACAGTCAAGAAATATCCTCTTATAGTCGCGTCTCGGTTCAACATACCCTTTTGTTTAGATCAGCCTGGCATCGGTCATGTAAGTTATGTTACAGTTACAAGCATTACTCACAATAATTTTTATAAATCTATTAGTTCGCAATTTTATAGCAGTTTTATTTATGATTTTAAAAGTGATTAATAATATCAAATGAATGCTTGATATAAAAAGAATGACAGACTCTTATTCAAGGCCTGAAACTGTTCTACTGCTCACTGAAAAGTAAAACAGTTTTAGTACTATATCACATTTTAATTTCTCAGAATTATTCTGGTCATCATCTTCTGAAACTCATTACTGTCAAGCATTTGCAGCATGTAACTGGAGAAGTATATCAAGTTGATGAAAAGAAATTAATAGTACTAGATGAATTTGAAGCGCATCCATCTTTTTACGAGAGGAAATTGCGAGAGGTTTCGTACTCTTATATTAATGTTTTTAAATTCACTAGTTGCTTATTGACATAGAACTTGAATAAAACATGTTGCTTATTAGGTTAAAATGGACTGCAGTGGTGCAGTGCTAAAAGCATGGATTTATTTGTTAACAAAATGGAAATCAAGCTTACTTCAAGAATGTAGCACATACTTAGAAACTTACAATTCAGATGGGCCACATTTTCGACCATACATCAAAAGGTCCTGTGTACTCGCAGTAACTTCAAATGTATCCTATTTGTTTTTGTCATTACAAAAGAGCACAATCTAGCTATTTTGGTGTTGGTTTATGTGGAGCATTAGATAAGAAATTGAACGAGTAAAGGATTTGTTTGACAAATTGATCGCTTTGACGGGAAATGCGTATTTTGTTGTATTGCAGTATCAGAGATGTTTGCTAGACTAATTTATTATGTACTTCGTGGTAGATCTACAGTAATAATCCAATATATTACTGCTACCTCTGCATAATATGATTATCATTATTGTACAAATCGTACTTACAAACATAACATTAATGACGAAGTATTTTCAGTGAAAGTTGTCGATGCATGGATGACTTGTGATTTTTGCATATGAAGTTTCTACAGTCATGTATTGAGTATCTGATTTACATTTGAGACCATTGAGGAGATGAACAGTGTTGCTAAATACTATGTATGAACAATTTTCTAGGCTTGGCTTTGGACCAGTTCAGTGAATTCATTTTCTGACAGTTTTGCCTTAGATGCTATCGGTCAGAAAAATTGTAATTGAGTAGATAATGCTTGAATTTGTTTAACTTTCCCGTATATCTTTACTTTTGATAGAACTAAGTCTAAGAAAAGGAATACAATAAAGTCTATGTGAAGGATACAAAACTTCTGCGGTGACATATAAACAATAGTCAAATGACTCAATAACTGTATTTTTTAATTTTGGACATATTTATAGTACGTTTTTTTTTGATGACCGAATGAAAAAAAACAAGAATTTGTAAACTTATCATAAATCTCCTTTCTCTTGAATTGCAAATTTTTCTTTCTCAGTTGCGTTCGCAGTTTTTGTTGGAATACTATTATCGCTTGGCTGCAGCGAATGTATTTTACTTTGAATAGTTGGAGGTAATGCAGCTAATTCATCATAAGTCACTTTCATGGCAATGCCTTCTGGTATATTTCGCTGAATATATTCCAAAAATGTGCTTGCTGTACTGCCTGTAATATTTTGTATTGTAAATTGACGAATGTGCGTTCTTGTTTCATAATGTAGTTGGTTCTTTTTTTTTGCAAATTTAGCTCTTAAGGTATTCTGAATCCACCATGCATAAGGAAATACCATCACAGAAACCACATCGAGTTCCAAATGTTTACATACTGCCTGTAAATGAACATAATCAGCTTTTAAATCGGCTCCATAGTGTTTTTTTCTTAATGACCTCTTCAGAGGAATATTTCCCTTAATGATGGAATGATTTCTAAACTGTCTGAAAATGCAAATAATTCTTACTGCGAGATGCTCATCAGTAATTAATGAATAAATTTGAGTAAGTGAGCATAGTACTGTATGTTGATGATGAATGCAGAATGTGGTCACGAAAATTTCCCTTTGCATCTCTTGTAGTGCATGGATTAGTAATCTAAGTTAGTCTTCAGTGTCATCAAAGTATTCAATTATTTAAAAACATGAAGTGAAAAGATCAGATAAAGTAGTTTTTACTTTTAAAAACGTCGTGTATGACTTCAATACTTTCTGATCATGCCCTCGGTATTCCATTTTGATACGCGTAAATAATCGATCTGGTTCAGTGCTTGAATTCTGCTCAAAAGATGGCCTGTAAAGTTTTTTCCTCTAAGATTCACTAAGAAATCAATTTTATTGAATTGTAATAAATTTCATATTGATGAAGTAATTTATTCCTAGTCTCAGAAAGACAGTTTCCAACTTACACTTGTATAGAGTAACCCCAACATTATTTTATTTCCTTTGGTGTCCGTTTACAAATATGATATATTTCCATTATTATCTAGCATTTACCCATGATATTTGAAACCCATATGAGAAGTCCCAGCAGGGAGTAATAAAAATTGACAAATATAGAGGGGGCTTACGTCAGTGGAGCAGTCACACCTGAATACAATCGACAACTTTGGTTCCTGTTACTAGATGCACAACAGGCTTTGATGAAACTTCGAGGCACTCCGCAGACTGTCTTGAAAATCATTTTTGCCCCTCTGCAACATAGACATCAATTACTATTTATAAAATCTTGCAGTAATCATGACAAGACATAAACATTATCCCAACAAGATTAATCTCGACTGCTACAGATAATTTTACTCCTATTTGCCATCTTCAGTTTTTGAAACACCGCATTTTGGATAAAATTACATTACTATCAGATTCAACAATTTCGGAAAAAAATGAAATTCATGAAAACAATGCTGCTCATAACTGTGATAGGTTCAGTGTACGAGATAATCAGTATGCAAAATATTTTACTCTCAACGGATACCCTCAAACCAAGCATTTAAAGAGAAACAAAGTCCAGCGATATGTAAAACTAAGCAAGACACCTCCACAGAATTCCTCAGCTACGCAGGAGTACGGAAAACAAACAAACAAATCAATCGCATACACTTTGACAACATAATCGTCAACATATACATCAAATTCTAACGAATCTCAACGCCAAAACTTTACTAACTTCAAAGCAAGATTAAATATACGGACACGCAAAATCCCATGCTATTGTTATCTACCGAGCTTACGATCACATACAAAAAATTTATTAAAAAGGTAGAAATAATGAAAAAATATATTAACTACTAAGATTATGTCTGATTTTCCGGAATTAATGTCTTATATGATATTACATCAATTTGTTTAAAAGCGATTTCAAGTGGGCTTCACGACAGGAAAATATGGGAAGAGTTATGAACTTTAAAATGAGTGTCCAGAATTCGATAATGAATATAATCAAAAGACATTATGCCTTTATACTAATACAACTTCATGCCCTTGACATATATCAAAACTGTGCTTTAAAATTTAGCAAACAAATATTAAATAAGACGAACAAAAAATAAAAATAAATGTAAAAACAAGTGTTGCGGTACATAGAAAGGAGTGTGAAAACAATTTGCGAATACCTCGTAATGTAGAAAAGAGCACAGTTGCTAACAGCATTTGAACTGGAGAAATAGATGATTATAAGAAAATTTATGAAATGACACCTAATTTAGTGAAGCCCACTTGACAACATTTGTCTAGTGAAAACCCCTCACAATATGATTTAGCAGATACCTGGCAGTAATTTTAAACCAAATTTCATCACAGAATCTATTTTAACGCTGTTTAATGCAGAAACTGACACTGATAAATCCCTTATAAGCATTTATAAAGCAATAAAATAGAAGTATTTTCATCATTCCTTCAGCATATTCATTTGAGCGCGTCTCCGGGACGGAACAGTATATACATTCGGATTTGCTGCTTCAACTACTCGCGATGGAGGTCCTGAATGTGGGGGTCCACTTGATGTAATCTGAAATTTAATCTTTTCATTTATAAGCATAAATGAAAATAAAAAACTTGTATTCTCAATTTAACGTTTCTTTTTAATGAATACGGCAGATAACACAATAAAAATCGATTTAATTACTTGTTTAACTGTTGAAAGTAAAGCAGAACGATCAGAAACCGAGAATGAGGCAGAACCACCACCACTACCAACGCGATGCCAAGGGTTGTTTGTACTACTCTTACTGACCCATCCACCTGATGAATTTTTATCAGATGTTACTGTTGTAAAGCCATCGTGTCGCCTTAAATATTATGACGTACATTGCCATCTATTAACGCACTTATCTACATTAATGAACTGAAACAGTAGAATCATAACTACAAACCTTTTCTTCTCGTCATTTTTCATCTTTTCGATTTTTTCGGCATCTTTAAACGTTGGGAATATTTCTTGGTCGTCGATATTTGGTGCAACATCAGTTCTTACCGCATTACGCATTAAACAACGAGGTTTCCAAACAGCAGGTGTTTGCTTTTTTGGTATTTGTAGAACCATTTCCTCAGGCTCTTTCTTCTGGAACGACACTACTAGCATCATTTGTAATATATAAAGAAATCGATATCACTATAATGTGTTTACATTCGAACCCCAAACTGACGAATTATGGAAAATCATTCACAACTACAAAGCCCATAACAATCACTGAACTGTTCCTGAGTGGAGAAAATGATGAAATAGATTACTGTTTAATGTGGTGAATGTGTTTTTCTTGAATCAAATTTAAACTGCAGCGCGAGAACAATCACCGCAAACATGAAAAAATGTTTATAAGCCTAAACTAAAGGATAAGAACCTCCGCAACACTCCAAGTTCTAGGGGCTTCATTTGTGGCTGCCTTTTCATCTTCTAGAGCTTCTTCAGTTTGCTCAGTGAGATTCATGTCTCGAATCCCGAGTTCTTCTAATGGTATTTCTCTACAAATTATCACCTAACTAACATGAAAAGCAACGAGCGGAAAATAATTATTTTCTCCTACAAAAATCCTGTCATAAACTGAAAAAAAGAGAACTCAATTTATAAAAGACAACTAACTTGTTTGTGTCTTTGTATTCTAGCCACTCAGAATCTTCAGTCCGTTTGTCAAATGAAACTGCATCGTCCAGAGCATGCCGTTCTTCTTGCTCATCTTCTCGGTCACGCTCTTCCTTTAAGGGTTTGATTGAACTATACTCCTTTTATCTATAGCCGTTTTAAGGAAATTTAGGAATGATTACCTGACGTTTAGCTTTTCTTTCAAGTACTAGCCCTACTTCCTCGACACTCAGCTTCACTTTTTTCCTTTTATCTCTCGCTTTAGCAGATTTCTTAGCGAAAAATTGTGAAAGGTCATCAGCCATCTACAAAAATATCCATTATAAAACACAAAATACTAAAGACATTTAATTATTCCCTTGCTTCGTCATTTTATCTCCATAAAATGCATGCACTAACAGTATTAGAATTCTCATTCAGGTTACAAGTTCCAGAAATTTATTCGGCTACTAGTTTTACTATTTTACTACAATTTCCATAACTGCATTCTACATCTGCATAACTGATGATCATTCCATCCTCATGCAAACTAATGTAAGAAAATATGAAAATTTTAAATTGCAGAAAATAATAGAATTACCTTACCTTGATTAACTACTAATCCAATTGTTCGAGACCAATTTTTCAGCTAAAACTTTTCGTGTTCACAAACGTTGCTGTGTATTTAAGAATAAAGTTGTAAATTAGCAAAAACAGAACACAAAAATGTCGCCAAAGAGTCGACTTCACAACAAATCAGACACTTCTGATGATCCAACGCTAGTCGTTGATATCAGCTACTAATGAACGTAAATCGTTTATTACGGATTTACCTATAAATTGTTTCGATCATATATATAAGTACAAAGATTATGAATGAATATGTTAGTCTTAAGAAGACAAATAATTACAAAGTTTATAAACATCAATCTTGCTTTCCAAATCTCTGAAAAGGCAAACCTAATGAAAAATCATTGCACAAATTGACAGACTATAACCTTTTTTATTTTAAAAATGATACTTGAATTAAAGTGCATTACATCTCATACTAAAATCAAATGTTATTCAACCATGAACTTTAAATTACCCCTACTATGTGTTTAAAAAACCTTCAATTATTCAATGATAATAATTAAATCCTATAATCGGCAGTGTTTAAATTCTTACATCACACATATACGGAAACACCTTACAAATTTTACAAAAATATTTAGCACGAAATATATTTAGCTATATCTTCGAAAAAAATTACTATACAACAACTATTTAGTTCGAAATCTCTTTATTAAAAGAAAGCAATACAAAAAGGTAGCAAAAGAATACTAATACTAAGGTAAGTAAATGTATTGTATTTTACTGTTGTGTTACATAAAGTATTCACCGAAGAGTACGCTAGTTTCTGTCTACATTATGAACAAAATCAAATGTAATACGCATATCTGTCATAAAAAGAAATTTATATAAATTTTATTAAGTAAGCAAATCAGTTAAACATGTAAATTACAAATAGGCAATATTATTTTATGAAAGACAAAAACGAAAGATTTATGATAAATCCGCACTTAACGTGGTACTAGAAAGTACAATCTACATTAGGAACGTGTAAATGACATCATCCTAAAAATTTCTCGTAAATATTTCAAACTTACCAGAAGTTTCCCCTTGAAGTAATCACTTTGGCGAAACGATGAGGGTGGGCCAACAATTTTGAAATAACTTAAATGGCACTTTGCCGCAAACTCGTTCTGTACGTAATACACGTAACAACTATTCACCATCCTCTTGCAACACGCACACTTCAGCACTCCCAATACCGTAGTTTTTACTTCATGCATTATAACAATGCTTTAGAGATTGTACAAGGTTTCGTTTTAGGACTTAAGGAATCATTTTTGAGTAAAAAATATATTCGTTCTAAGACCAAAACAGAGTAACTCAGTAACTAGATGATACGAACTGAGTAATCCTTTTCTTAATTAGTCATTGGACTAAAGTGTAGTAAATGCTAATAATTTTTTACGCTATCCATTTTTTCGTTTCAAATCTGAGAAGAAACGAAATAGGAACTTGAAATCGAAATGTATTTTTTAATTTTGAATTCATTTCCGAGTTAATTGATATTGCATACCTTAATTTAAGCATCAGCGATTTCGTTGTTTGACTTAACAATTTTCAAAGAAATGAACTTGCAGTTATTTTTGCATTTATTTCAGTTTTAGATTATTTATTAATATTTTGCTTTTTGTTGAAACTATCAACTTCTATCATTTTTTTCATATTTGATATGTGGGCAGGATTTCGAATTATAAGCATGCTTGTTGCTTTGAATAGTAAGTTACGTGATATTGTATGAAACAGATTTATTAGTTGTGTTATCAAGATGATATGTTGTGAGACACAGTTTTGCTCTTTGTAACAAGCAGATTTTATTACAAATTGAGCACGGAATAAAGCATAAGTGTGTATCACTGTTAACTACAAAGTGATTTCTTTAATGCCATTTATTATAGTAGTAAAACTTCCTCAAAGTTTAACTAACTTACATTTGTACAATTATGAAGAATTCAACCGACCTCTCATCAGACACCAAAATGACAACAATACTTCATTAGCTGTGCATATTTGAGATAGAAATTAATTAATTTTTTTCTTGAATTGTAATAAGTACAAATTGAAAATGAAATTGCGATTACCTTTGACAATTGTAAAATGAAAGTATTGATAGCTTAATAATATGAAAGCAAAAATGTATAAATGATTTAATATAGCACAATTTATTATGGCACATAACAGTATGACATTTTTTATATTTATTATATTTGAGAAAGGATATAGCTAATATGGAAGAATACTTTGTTTATCAATACACTAAATCTATGTGTTGCTTTAAAAAAGCAGACTTTAACAATTTTTGCAGTGATAATTGTAATTCTACTGTAAACTTATAAGAGAAGGTTTGCTCATAAAGATATCTCGTACTTTCTCAGTTTTCCAGTGCATTTTTTATCTGTTAATAATGTTTCTTTCTGAGTGCAGTTGTTGCAGTATTTAATTTACCAGAAGAATTAGTTTCAATCGTTTATTTCTTGGAAAAAAATTAGTTTCAGAGCTTAATTCTTGCTATGTCTTATCGGTTAAAGTAATGTTACTTAATTTTTGCTCACATATTATTTGCGAAATAGTTTTTTGTCTTTTTTTTTTGTAGTTATCTTCTTTTTAGTTTGTATGAATTCGAAAATGCGTACAGTTCAAGATCATACTACTAGTAAAACGTGTATATTTAATGACTTACAGATACCTATGTGATTTGTAGAAATTTAACCATGTTGGGAGTTGGGCGTATTCTTCGTATGAGTTATCAAGGCTCTCAAGCAGTATTGCGTAGCTTTTTGAAACCAGAAGTTAACATGTATGAAGGCCGAGCGAATTTTAAGGTCAAAAATTTTTAAACATTGGTTACGAAAAAGTTGAATCACTTAATAAAAACATTTTTGTTTATTTGTGACACGTAAATTTTAAACTGTTAATGATATAAAAAACAATAACAATATTACTAAAGTTGTTATCAATTTATACATATGAAGAATATATTTTAGGTCCGTCAGCAGTTAAAACTTCGATGTTCACACTGCTACTTTATCCGAGTTGATGGTCGTTGGGAAGTACGTTGCACAGAATTTGCAAAACATCATCAGAAAGAGCCTTTTAATGTTAAATTATTGTGGTGATTAGTCACTCATTTTTTTATAGCAGTGTTTGTTAATTTCATATTTTATTGTACAAATTTTATCTTTCTCTGAGGTAACACATTACTGTGAATAAATTATTATATTTACCGTTTAATCTTCGAATGCTGTGATGTAAAATATCATATTACTTTTTCTGGTATTTTCTTTAAATAAGACCTTTTTTCACTGTTTTTCGCTTGGAATTTCGCATTTTACCTTCCATAATTAATTTCTCCTTACACATGAATGGTTATTTTAGAAGTTGATGTATTAGATTTGTGCGAACATTATCCATTGAGGAAATTGTATTTTAGCTGATGATGCGCAGCGTAATCGAACATTATTCATTAAGGCAATTGTATTTTAGCTGACGCTGTGCAGCGGCTCTTAAAGTTACTGATGCATAATGAGTTCAATAGAGGTTGAAGCTTGTGTACAAATCTTGGAGGATTATTTTGGACCGATCGTAGCGAGTGTTGGAAATATTTTACTATGTGGAGCTATGACATTACCTGTTTTGCTTCAAAGGCTAAAACCAAAATTTACGATATCTGAAGTTAGTTTAATCGGACTTAATAAATAATCTTTTTTATGGGCCGTAGGGTTAACAAAGTAGTAACTGATATGAATTTTCGCTCATCTTGGTTCTTTAAAGTTAGGCTGCAAAAAGTTATTAAAAAAACAAAATTGCTAAGAAACTTTGTCATAAATTTCCCTCTAAAAAAACAAAATTGCTAAGAAATTTTGTCATAAATTTATGATTACAAATTTTGTTCCACATTGATTTATTTGCAAATTGTAACAATGATACAGATCAAGCGAGCAGTAATAATTTTGGAGCAGCATGGGATTGTACAATTTGTTCAGGATGATCGCCAAAATATAGTGTATTCAGCACAAACTAATGAAATTCTGAGATTGTTACGGTCAGCACGATGTTCATTCGTTGCTAAGACATTATATGGAGAAATAGCAGAAATGATTTGCGAAGAAATCGCAAGTCATGGTCGATTAACATGTTCATCCTGCATCAGACGAGTTGCGTCTAAATTAGAAAAAGATTATAATGAAGTAATGCTTTTATCACGTACGTTATGTTTATTAAAAATCAAATTTAAATACATATTTCAAATTCAACATTGTGTTGAATAATGTTAGAATCAAAATTTGTAATGAAATTTTGTTGATGTTTAAATGTAAATTATTAATCAAATTTAGATAAAGTTAGTTTTTGCTCGACTTGCTGAGACACAATTTGTTATCCGATGTCCAAAAGTCGAAAGTGAATTCCTTGGTTGTCCTATTTTCGAAAAACCTGTAGATCCATTTATGATGCCAGAAGCAATTTTGAATGCTGGAAAACATGCAATCAAAAGTAATCTTTGGATTCTACATACTTCTGAGAAACTGATTCATCTTTATGAGAATGCTCTTTAATTATAGATTGAAGCTTGACAATTATTTTTGCTTTTTCCTTTCTTATTGCGATATTTTTCAGGTAATACGATATCCGGGAAGCGGAAAAAATTAGACGCTGATGAGGATGATCCAGATAGAGATATTCTTTGGAAAGTGAATTATGTGCGTTTTGAAAGGTATCTGCGTGATGAGATGGTTATTAAAGCTTATAGTTCCAGTGATGCTGTTCATCAAAATTGTATCAAAACTCTAAAAGTTTTATTGAAAATTGCTGAGATGAAGGCTGATTCGGCTGCACCATCTTCATTCCCGGCATCTGTAAGTTTTGCCTTCTAATCTTGATACTTTCGTAAATTTTTATCCGAGGTTGCCATGAATTATGAGGATACAGAAGTTAAATTTAGCTCGGTCTAAATTTATCCAGTGTGTATAGAAATTATTTTGAGCTCTTAATTATTTAGCTCAAGTTTTTTTGTACAAATAGTTCAATTATTCACCGAAAAAAATATTTTTTCTCAGCAGTCCTCATTGTTTACCTTTGTAGTTCCTTAGATTACACTATATGAGGAGAATACAAAGTTTTTTCATATTTCATGGTTCAGAAATTTTGTTAATAATTTTTCAGCTTAGTCTGTTTTACAGATTTTGTCTTTGCCGTTATTTTTAAAATAAGAATAATTTTTTAGGTTCATGATGTCGTAAAGGCAGCACGCGTTCACTATAACAATTTGACAAAACAAGAAATTGATGTTGCTCTAAAGCTTCTCTGTGAAAGTGACGGGATTGTACGGAAAGTTGGTGAAAGCTCAGGGGGTCTTTTTGTTGTTGGTAAGCTTTTATTCATGATTAACTGAATGTCATTTTTGTCCATGTTTTTCGCAATTTTGTCTTTCATCTTTTCATCTAATTCTTTGTCTTTCATCTGCAAATTGTATCCATCATAGATTTTGAAAAAGCAATCAATATACACTGTCAACGTCATATAGAATCAGCAATTCGGGAAACATTTGATGCCCCGGCTGTTCGTATTTTTCGTCTCCTCATGCAGAAAGGTTTTCTAGAAGAAGACCATGTAAACTTTTTGATTACTAAACTAGCAAAATAAGTTGACAAATGACTTGGAAATTTTGAGAAAATAACATACTTTTCAAACTTAAGAAGCATTTCTTGGCTATCAGCGTTTTCTTATTTACTACAATGGATTTAACAATATTGTTGAAGGTTGAAAAACTAGCAATGATGTCATCGAAGGAAGCGCATAATCGTTGCTACCAGTTATGGGAGAAAGGATTTATTTTAATGAAAGTATGTTCGTTTCCTGGATTTTATTCCTGTTTTCATTGTGGATGTCATATGAAGTGTGGCAAAAATTTTTTGATGTTCTTATACAACAAAACAACATGGAATCATATTTTCTAGCATTTGGCTAAAACTAATGATTTCGCCCCAACAAGAACTATTTACCTTTACTATGTGGACATGAGTGTTGTGGCTCACAATTTATATTTATTCACTTGTAAGGTAATTTTATGAAGCATTGTTCCTTTCAGATACGTAATATTTCGCAATTTATTTGCATTCAGCTTTGAAATCTTTTAATTATTTCCTTATGTTATTACTCTAATTTGAATTATTATATCAATTATCGTGTCACATGCTCGTAGATGTAAAATTTCATCTTATTTCTTGATTTTGCGAGGAAAAATAACATTTTAAAGTTCATCACAATGCTTTAATTGGAACTAATGAAAACTTTACAGAACCTCATTAAATAACAATATTAAAGTTGCAGAAACATGAAGCTTGCAATAATATTAATTTCAGTAATACAAAGTCCAGGAAAATAAATTTTTTCAGGTTTTGAGAAATGTGATTATACGAAGACGTCATGAAACTAAGAAGCATAAGTGAGTCAAATTAGTTATGCATGTTTTTGTTGCTACATTTGGTTTTGAATCTTGAACTATAAATATTTTGTTTATAAAGGATAACAATTTACCTGTGTAAAATCAGATTACTTTCAGAGTCGTTACTTTTTTAACTTTTTGTATTTTGATAAAATCATCAAAATAATGATGTGTTTCCAGAGTATTGATTGAAAAAAATTTGAAGATGGAAGCCATCATTTCAACTATTGAAACGGATGGAAGTCTTAATGAGGAGCTAAAAAAAGAACAGGTTTATCTTCATACTAGAATTGGTTATTTTCTGATTTCCACCAGGAAATTAAACATTATTACAATTTGCAGGTAGAAGAAGTAGAAGAGATTTATATGACGCCAGGAGATAGTGCAATTTTGGGAAAGTATAAGAAAGGTCAGAATGCATTGATGTCTACTGAAATAGAATTAGACCTTGATTTATTGCTATATAAATTGTATCTGGATTTCGCACGACGAAAACTGTAAAATATGTTAAGGAGTGAAAATGTAAGAACTGTACTTCAAAAATGAGGAGAGTTATTTTTGAAGTAACAGTAGAGTAAAATTTGTATCGTTTTCTGTTTTTTTTTTTCTATATTGTTAAATTGTTATTATGATTATTGTACAAATACGGTCTCAAAAAGAATTATCTAAGATTGTTTATTTTGAGATTCTTCTTTCTAAAAAGCGTTTCAGTATGAAGATGGGATAGTAACGAAGATCCAAAATTCGTAAATATTATCTTGGAAATGGCATAATAACAAAATTTCTCTTTAATAAAAAATAACCTTTTTCACGGGTACTGTATTAAAGATGTTATGATAACGAAAACCAATGGTTCATGGGTAGTATATATACTCTATTTAGTTAATTGTTTTATAAATTTTTCTTTACTATTTTTGTTTACTCCTTGATGATTATAGTTGATTAAATTTCGCATTCATTGTGATTTTTCATTACTTTGTTAAGATCTGTAAAGAGGTTACGTAATAATTTTGATGTATTAATAATTTTCTAAAAATTGTGATGATTCAAATAACTTGTGCAAATAATGCTGCATGATTGTATTCTTTAAAAGATTATGGTCAATCAAACTCGTGACGTAACTTACTCATTCATGAGTTAAATTTGGATCACAGCGGGTTCTTGGAAAATTTTTGATATAAATCATATTATGATGTTAAAATGAAATAAAGCGTTGTTAGCCATAAATATTACAGGTAATCCGTGCATTTTTACTGTTTACTTACTTTCTGATAATTTTCGCTGGTTTATATCAAAACAGTCTTGCATATTTTTCGGAGTTTTCAATAAACGATGATTACATAATTACTGTAAAAGTATTCTACAGATAATCTTCAAAAAGGGATTGCGTGGAGATAAAAGTTTACAAATACGGTGATATTTTAGTTATGTAACAACTGTATACATTGGTAATAAGATTGAGGTGTTTCTTTTTTGTTTGAAAACGAACTTGCAATGTTTACTGCTCATATAGTTAAATGATGGTATGCTGTGATATGTCTGTAATGGATTAGTAATTAGGAAATTAGTAGCGTAAGGTAAGTATTAGGACTGGCAATTTTAATTTTTCAGAAATTGAAAGTAGTTAGCATGTTTATAAAATATGAAGATGCAATTTTTTGACAGTCAACAAAAGACTAGGTTGTTTCTTGAAGTTTGGTAAAAAAATTAGCAATAAAATTTCAAATAATTACTGAGTAGTTTGAAAAATTACTTCATTATTCTATATAAGGATAACGAAGAATAAGATAAGTAAATGAAGTTGAAAACTGGTGACTTAGACAGTATTAGGTAGCAATATGGTATTATCAAAATCGTTCACATAATATCATTCTGTAGAGAAAGGCCTTGTAGCTGTACTGAATGAAACTAAATAGACCCGTTAGTATAACTTTAATTCAAAAGACAGTAAAGTTTATACAAGGGCCGAATGTGTTATTCTCGATAATTGACTTTATGCTGTGCTCGTTTCTGATTTGTACATAAGCAGACTGTGTAATAAGGTAATTAGTGATTTACAACATTCCACTGTTTACCGGTATTTTTGAAGTTTTATATCTGTTATGGTATCGTAGTAAAACCATTTCTGGCCATGTGCTGGTGAATGTTTATCACATAGCGGCAAATTATTAATTCAAAAAAATTTTGAATTTATTACTCACTACTATTTTGCTAAAATATGAATAAGAGATAATTTATGCAGTAAACTTGCATTTTTGTCATTTTCAGTAAATGTTATTATCATTTTCATATTTTTACTATTGTAAAGCTAGAACAGATATACAAACAATCAACAACAATAGTTATCATTTTCGATCATTATTCTCGTATAATGTTTATCATTAAGAGATGTATTCAAAAGGAGGAAATTTTTCGCATTCAAATAAAGATGAAGCTAAGATATGCTTTATTTGGTCTGATGTTTTATTTTTGTTTTTTACTTCTTGCTACAAATATATTCAAAAACAGAGTATTTTGAATAATTTTAAATTTGCTAACTTTCAAATTTGCTGTTTTATTTTTGCCCTTATAAAGTAAAACCAAAAGTATGCACGAATGACAACTATTTTATTTGATTACGATGCAAAATGTAACTGAAGCAATTGCGTTTTTAACACATGGCATAACGATTTGATGATTGCCTTAGTGGTAATAATAGTAAAAATGGTAGAAATGATTGTAAATTGTTCAGTTGCAAGTCTGATAAAGTAATAAATAACAACAGGTGAAGAGCAAGTATGCGATGCAGAAACATTAAAATAAAATATAACAATTTGTCATATTTTTTATTTACAAAAATTGGACAAATGATGCAAAGTTTATCAAAGATAACATTACTGTATAGTGAGAAAAAAATTAACTGCAAATTTTATTTATATTTAAATAATTTGTGAATAAATTCAGAAATATCTCTCTCTACTTGATTAATTTACACCTGTAATTATGTTGTGTTTGAGCATTTTTCAGGTGTGATTCAATAAATAACCAAGCAGACTTTTTGAAACAAAAAAAAGTGATGCTTAATTTTTAGTTTAATTTTATTAGTAGCAAAATTTATTAATAATAAATTTACAATGCTGTCTTAAATTTGAAAAATTTTTTAATTTTTGACTGCAAAATGAACGCTGTAGATGACAAATGGTAAATTTTATAAAATTTTCAAATTTGAATATTGACACATATAGTTGGTAATTACGATGTGAATAAATAGTTGAATTAAAGTAATGCTTTGAGTTTAAGTTAGTAATGGGAAATTTTATTTCACTAAAAAAATTCTAGGTGAACCACCTCATACGATTTATTTTTTCAAAAGTAAGCAATTCTTTTAAGCATAGCTTTCCATATATTAGCAAAATGAGCTAATTTTCAGCTACAAATAATAGTTAAATCAAAATTTATTCATCCAAAATTGTTAAAAAAAATTTTTCAGTTCTTTTTTTAAACAATTTACCTTGTATAATATTATTGTGAATCATGAAAAATATAAATTTCAAGTTTTAAATAAAGAAAATGGATTTATATTTAACTGTTTGATATTTTCAATATTAATTTTGAAATTAAAATTAAATTGAAGTGTTTTTAAATAAAAAAGTGAAACGTTTGAATTTTTTAAATATTAAAATGCTCAGATTGTTATATCTTATGCTATTTTAATTTTATGAGTAAATTAAAACACAAATTGAAAAATACTACACACTAAATCTTATTATAATATATATTTAAATTTAACAGTTTGGAATATTTTATTATTTTTGATATTATATTAACCTTTGTTATTTTGATAAATATCATTATCTTTTGTAATTATTCAAATTCTCTATGAAACCGATTGCTTGCTGTACGGATTACAATGTTTCTGTTCATCTAGCTGTAAAGTGAACGATTAACAAAAGATAATACTTTAAGAAGAAAAGAATATTTGAACTTTGAACTTGCCGCAACAGTACTGTCAAATTTATTTACAGTTTATTCTTCGATGGCAACAATTACTAATTACCATCATCATAAACGCATTATCACAGTAGCTTATTTATTACTTGCTTCCTTACTCACTAAAGTCTACTGTATTAAGCTGTTCATTATAATCATTTTTCAACTACGCGTTACTTATTCAATTTCTATAGTTATATTTGCTTAGTATATAATATTATCTTAAACCAAAACTAATTAAACTGAAAGCTTTTCTTCGAATAAAATCCAAGCAACTGATACTTATATCATATCCATACTTATTATAAACACATTATGCTTCTTTTAATAAATAACGTTGTATTAAGCTAAAAAAATTTTAAACTTTATAATTTTCAGTTTTTATACCTTAATTTACATTCAAATTTACGAAGGAAATTTTGATATTTGACTTATTTTTTCAAAATTATATAATAATTAGTAAATAGACGTAAGATGATGAACATTGGAGAACTGTACTTGTGTTGTCACGTCTATATTATTTAAACTTTTGAAAAAATTGATTCACAAAAAAAATGAATAGACAAGTCTAAATCAGAGAACTGAATTTTATAAGCATAAAAAATGAAGTCCTTAATTAAAATGCGAATATCACAATAATATTGCAGTAAAAATGATTGAAAACGGTAATAATTACAGTTTAGAAATGATTTTTCATTTTTGCAGGCTAAGATTTTTGTGATAGAAAAATTATTTTCAGTTTTTCAACATTATATTATAAGTGATATGTAAAAAATGTTAAGCTACAAAAGTGCAAAATTATTTTTAATTAATCTGAGTATTAAATTTGCAACAATTTCATGAAAGAATTTTTTTTACTTACTTTTATGTCAAAGGTCAAATTCCCACTGACTTCTATTATAAAGCTTTTATTGCAATATTATTAATGTCAAAATTTAATTTGATTCAGAAATTTTAATTTCAAAAAGTAGTTACTTACAAGTTTATTGTTAGCTACTTGGTCAGTTAATAAAAGCTAAATGATGCTAGAAAGATTACTATTATAATTCTTATAACTCCAAACTTTTTAAAGTAATCAAATTTTAAATCAGTTAATAATATTTGTTAAATACTGAAACATTCAATTTAATTTTCAAAGAATAGTGAATTCTTTTCGTAACTCAATTGGTAATTAAATCTAACATGAATTTAGTTTGCTTAAATTTAACTTAAATTTAATAAAACCTTTCAATTTTTTTCATTCTATAACTTAATCATATTTATAAAACAAATAATTTAAAAACTTCTTAATAATAATATAGCTTTATTTTCCAAAACATTATCACAGTAATCTTTTATCATCACAAATAATTTTTGCATATAACTTTCAAGCATTAGATTGACATCTCTTACTTTCTCATAAAAACTTGGGAAAGGGATTAAGATAAGTTAGATGCTGAGTGCAACAGAAGTAAGTTGAAAATCGCTTCTGTTCATTATCAGAAGGTCATACCAGTTCTCACGTGACACATTTATAGACAATCTAATTTGAT